TCTGGAACCAAATTGAAATGTCAAAGAAAGGCACCAAATACTCAAACGCTTGGGAACAATTGCCTGAGTTCAAACTATGGTTAACCGCGGTTGATTCTGATTGTTATAAAGCAAAATGTAAATGGTGCAATTCGGAATTCTCCATTACATGCTGAGCGAATATTTTCGTTGGTTGAGAAAACATGGGCACAAAACCGATCTGATTTGGATATATCCAAAGTGAAGTCTCTGGCATTGATCAAATTTAATACCAACGGGTAAAATTAAAGGAAACATGCCTCCAGTTTTACAACAAAATATCAAGGCAAACCGATGTTTTACGGGCCATCAAAAGCGACACAAAGTATTCGAAAGGAAATGATGAACTGTTTTTCTTATCAAACTTTGAAGGCGATAACGACAATGAAGTCTTATGCTCTGTATTTGAAGATTTATAATAAGAATTCAAAATTATAAAGTTATTTCTTAAAATATATTCAACAACGAAATCACGTTTTTCACGTTTTTTTGCTTGAAATTGCTGTTTTTCCCCGTTTTTTAGACAATTTTCAATTCCCGGTTTTTCCCGATTTTTAGCCACGAATTTCCCGTTTTTTGAAAAAAACGTGATGCGCGGCCTATGCATGAAACGCAAAGAAAATGAGTCGAGTTTCACACAGTCTTCCAACGATTGTGATGTGTGTTCAAGGCATTTCGATTGTTGTTTTTTTTTCTTATTTACGTGTTGATACGAGATTGAATTGAGATATATTTTGAACTTTTTCAGGCAATACCGAAAATTCGAAATCTCCAGATGATTCGGTTGTATACGTCGGCACCGAAACCGTTGAAGGTGCAAGCGCTATCATGCCGAAAGAAGAGGTGACCAAGGTTTGTTGTCCTTGAGGAAATGACATTTTCGGTCGATACTGGGCTCTGATGTTGTGCACAAATTCAGAGACCGCCTGAAATGGCACGCACAAATTACGCACAAAATATTGGAACCGGTGTGGGCCATGTAAAAGCAATATTTTTCATAGTTGACTTATATTCACCACACCCATATTCTGCGAAAATCTGGTCTGGCATTATTTGACCACATAACGCAAATCCGAAGGCATATTCATTATGCACAAATTATGCACAAAATAATTGCATATTCGAACATGCGAAAAAATGCTGCCCCGTCGAATGGTGAAAATGGCATTTACAGCAAATTCACCACAGAAAGTAGAATCAAAATTTGCACATTTTTCGACTTTTTTGGGCCTTGCAAATGCATGCACAAATTATTTACGTAAACAGGCCACCGGTTTCCAGACCTTGACCGGCTGGGGAGGGGGAGCCAATTTTGAATGTAATTTTTTCGTTTAACTTATTTTTGTTTGAATGTTGAGCTTCGGAGCAAAAAACGAAAGAAAAAAAACATTCGACCAAACATTTTTCATAATTATTTTTACCAAATGAAATAAAATTTTATTACAATAAACGATATTACTTTTTTCATTATTACATTACATTCAGAACAATTATTCAGATCTTGCAGTTATCATTTCAATGAAGCCATAGGTTTTTGTTTGAAAAATTGTATTTCATTTTCATTTAAACTGAGCAGTTAGAATCAGCTGACTATTTGATTGGGAATCGTTCAAAAAAGGTAAATGAAATATGAGCTGTATTTGTTTTTCAAATCTGTGAGTTATCGACTGTGATTTTTTCTCATATTACACGACTGGAGAATGAAAGTGCTGAAATAAATTGAGCACGTAACAAATTCTATAGCAAAATGATTCACATTATGAAATGTATGGATTTCGTCAATAGCCAGCCCACGAAATATTTGCGCCAGCCCAACAATGTTATTCCTCTAAACGGATAACTTTCATACATGAAAGAAACAATTATTTTTTGTTTTTCAACAGAAAAAAGAACAGTCAGCTGACTAACTGAATTTCGATTCATTTCGTTCTTTATTGCTGTTGCAAATTTCAATATATTCTCGAGATGTTCGTGTGTATGGCGAATGTTTATCGTACACGAATTTTTGTGTAAACATAATTAAGAGAATGCACAGCTGAAATTGGAGCGAGTTCGTTTTGAATTTTGTAAACATCAAAATACGAGTGAGTTGTTCAATGCACATTCAAAGTTCGTGGAATTGAAATGATAAATGATTTGATTTGCTGAATAATGCTATTTTGGAGTATTCAAACAATAACAGTGGCAGACGGACGACGAAAAAAAAATTTTAGAACGAAAACACAGCGACACTTTTCAAAATTGCTTGAAGCAAATCTGAAGCATATTCGCCGTGTCATTCACGCTGCAGTTTTTGATCGATAAAGATTGGAATTGAAAGTTGTTCAAGTTGAAAAGTAAATTGTCAAGCCGAAATGGACAACGAAGGCGAACCAAAAAAGAAACAAGCTCGCATTAGTGATTTATTTGGGAAAATCAAATTGCAAAATCGTTGTAAGTTTTGGCAAAAAAAAAATGCTATTTGAGAAAAGTGTTTGATATGAATCGTTTGGTTTCTTTCTTGTTTTGAATTTGTCTTCAGTTTCAAGTGACACCAATCAGTCGCAACAATTAAACACTCAAAGTTCCACTGCATCATCTTCAACCAATATTGGCAACGTTCCACAAACTGCACCTGTAGTGTCACCTACTTCAGAGCTAAACTGTGCAGAATCCGATAATTCAAACATTGATTCAGAAACCACATCGCAAAATGCACCAACCGACCTTATACCAATTGGCGCTGATTGGAAAAAACAAGTGTTTTCGCAGAAAGATTTCCCAAAAAACGAAGAAAGGCGAAGCTTCAAGCCACGCTGGATTGAAAGTCATGAATGGATTGAGTATTCCCATAGTGCTGATGCTATATTTTGTTTCCCTTGTCGTCAATTTGGAAAAACAACGACGAAAGATGATGTTTTTACAAAGGTGGGATACAAAGGATGGAAATTGGCATTGCAAAAAGGCAAAGGCCTCGATAGACACAATCAATCCTTACAACACATCCAGAATATGAATTCATGGAAGGAAAGAGAAGCTCGTCGTAAGAACGCGACAGAAATTTCAGTCCAATTATCAAGCGATATCATCGAAAAACGAAAATATTATGTCAAATCACTTATAGGTGTGGTAAAATTTCTCGCTGCAAATGAATTACCGTTTCGAGGTGACTGGGAAGGCAGCACCCACACCGAAAAAGGTGTGTTCACGAATCTGCTTGAATACACTTTGCAAATATACACGTCACCTGATGTACAGAACGAGCTGATTTCTATTATGGCGGCATTGGTACGACAGCAAATTGTTACAGAAGTCAATTCGTGCGATGGTTTCACTCTCTTGGTTGATGGTACAAAAGACCGAAACAAAAATGAAATTATCTCGATCGCTGCACGTTATGTACTTGGTTCAACACCCAAAGAATCTTTATTATCATTTGAGAAATCAGAAAGCCTTTGTGCTTATCCAATGGCTGAATTTATTTTGGCAAAATTAACTGATTTCGAAATGGATTTAGTGAAACTGCTTAGCCAATGCTATGATGGAGCCAACGTAATGAGTGGTGATCATGGCGGAATCCAGACGATTATTCAACAAAAATTGGAACGGACCATCCCCTATGTTCACTGTTTCAATCACCGCTTGCATTTAGTTGTGATTTCTGCAATAGAGGATATTCAAGCACCGTCGTTGTTTTTCGGTCAAATCAAAATGTTATACAACTTTTTCTCGCGATGGAAGGTCAAACAAATATACAAAGGAACAGTTATTTCCAAGGTGATTGAGACGCGTTGGTCGGCTCATAAACGTGCAATTGATGCTGTTCATAATAACTACAGAGCAATTATCGACGCGATCAAATCAGGAACCAAGGTCAAGTTTGACGGTGAAGATATTGCATTG